TCTGAAAAACTACTGACATAGTGTCTGTAACCTCACCAATACCTGTAATAATACCAAAGTACGTAGGGATTTTTACAGACGTGTGTAAATTCACAGTAGTTTTTCGTTAACAATCCCTCAACTCTGTAATTATACTGGTACTGTAATTTTACGATAGTATTTGTGTAAAACTAATATAATCTGTAAAATTACATTTTATTTCTGTACAAGATTACAGGAATTATCGGTAAAGTCACTAATATTTTTTACAGTGGGGCTAAGGTAGGAGCCGATGGGCCAGTATTGTTGCTCAGGGGGGCTGCTTCTACTGGCTGTGGCCTACCAATATCAGGGAAGGGGCCTAGCGTGACCGCGACATCTGACAGAAGTGCGTCAGAAAAAAACTGAAATTTTGTTCGAAAGTTCGAAAGGCCTTCAGCCCGACCATTTCAGTCTCGCGATTTACTGAAGTGCATAATTAAATAAGTAATGTGACCGGTATATCACTTTGAATGAAGTTAGAGGGGGAAGATTACCCCACGCTCCCACTAGCAAGCCTCGCAATTGGGAAGCTAAAGCACTGCGTGAAACCACTGCAAATTCCTAGATTTGAGTAAGTCCGCAGTGAAGTTGAAATCCGTTTCGATCTGATAGGAAAATCTTGGAAAAACTGTAAAATAGATTTAAATGTCTTTCATTCCAGTGATGCGTACGAGGAAGAATTATTTGACGACGAGGAAGATGATTACATACGACTTCGTTTAAAGACAGCACGACTCCTTATCAAGGTCGTTCTACGGGTTTTGAGGTTCGCGCTTCGGAGTTTATCAGCCACCACTCCAGAGCCAAGACGCGTCCAGCTGAAGGGTTGGTAGCACTGCATCACGAGAGTACGACAAGAACTCAACTTTTTCCGAACGAGAAGTTGGCGCGAAACCCGATCATCTGGCTTAGAGGCGGGAAGAAACATCGTTTTCCTGTGCAAATATTTTTGCGATTAAACTCTGTTCCTGCTCTAGTTCATTTTGTAATGCAGAATCGAAAATCCCGAAAATGCCCCTTTGAAAATAGTGTAACTATCTCTAATTATTCCATCCATGCCTCGGCCGTGGGTCGCTCCGGTGTCTTGGAGTCGTGGTATTGCCAGTGGTAGAGCGGGCTGAATGCCCGACACTACTTAGACAACACGGCAAACATCCTCATAGACTTGCTTACCCTACTGGGGCTATGGACCAGTTCCGCAAGGTCCATTACAGTGCTGCTTGAATAGCTGTGTTAAGAATGATATCAAAAGAGTCTGGATCGAGCCATGGAGCTGTATTTTGAACGTGTACGCGAACCAACCCGAAAAAATTAGTCAAAAAAAAAAATGAAATAAGTTTTTGGCTGAGCGATAGCGAAGCCTATTACTCCGTCTGGCCGGAAAAAAAACTTTTTCTGTGTGTCTGTGTGTGTCTGTCCGCACGATAACTCGAGAACGAATTCAGCTAGCCACCTGGGATTTTCAGGGTCGTTTTGTGTTATAACAAGCAGGCCCGCCCTTCCGCCAAACGGAGATGCCAGCTCCACTTCGCTGCGCCGGCAACTCCGTTCGGCAGGGGCCGGGCCTGCTTGGCCTGCCGGCGGCGATGGTCGGGCCTTCGGCCCGACCATTTCAGTCTCTCGATTTACCGAAGTGCAAAATCAAATAAATAATGTGACCCGTAAATCACTTAGCATAAATTGAGTGAACTAACGCGTCCGGTGGGGGGCCTGCGGCCCTAGAAATTTGCTCCTTGGACATGACAAAAGACTGTAACGGGGCAACACCGTGACTACACCCAGCTTAAGAATTTAAAAAAAAAAACACACGCTCAGATTGTATATTGTAGATTGTATATTGTTTGCCAAACAGTCTTAAAACTTGACTTTTTGCAACTGTTTTCAAAATATCGACCTCTAGCTCCTAAACGGTTAAAGATGCGGTAAATCGGAGGTTACCAACGGACTCAGAATGTGCTGTTTTGGGGGGG